TTGCCGTTGAGTCGGACTTGACTCACAGCGACCCCTCCTTGGTTTCTGAGGTGGTATCACTACGGAAGTAGATTGCCCAACCTTCCTTCCGAGGAGTGGCTGGTGGGTTTGAACTGCCACCCTTCCAGTTAGCAGTCAAGTACCTTAGATGCTATGCCACCAGAGCTCCCCCTTAAATCACTGTTGTTGTTGTTATTGTTGTTATGTGCCGTCGAGTCGGCCCCGACTCATAGTGACCCCTCCTTGGGTTTCCAAGACAGTATCACTACGGAAGTAGGATTGCCCAACCTTCCTTCCGAGGAGTGGCTGGTGGGTTTGAACTGTCAGCCTTCTGGTTAGCAGTCAAGTGCTTTAGCCACTATGCTACCAGAGCTCCCTTAAATCACTAGATAGGGTAAAAAAGGTGGGATCAGATTGAAAGAGGAAAGCACAGTCCAAACACTCAATTGAGAGGAGCTTCTGTGATGCTCCCCTTCTAGAAAATGGAAGGAACTGCACCAAGGCAACCATGAGAGAGATGAACTGGGAGCCATCTCCTCTACCCCAGAACCCTGAACGGGCACCAAGCATGCCAAAGTAGATATCTGTTCTAGGCGGAAGAAGTAACCGTGGACAATAGGAACAGAGAGGGAGGCATAGTGTCCAAGGTGTATACTGACACTCTGTCAAATAAGATCAGATACCAGGACATCTCGGCTGGCTACGTACCCTGCTCCTCTCCCACATCCACTGGAGGCAGGCAATGTATTCAAACAGTCTACCAACAAACCTCAAAAACAGATAAACTCACAACTAACAAGCCCTAAGGACCTAAGAAAAATAAACACCATGAGAAAGGAACTAAGTTCATTCAACAAAAGAACTAATGCCCAAAAAAATCAACTTAATGTACTACTTTCAGGAAAGTCAAAAACATATTTCTCAGAATCAATGAAATGTATGTAACCTTACAGACACTTAACTAGCAACTTTGGAAGCAAGAAGATTTCAGAAAACCATCTTAAAAGTTAGGAGGAAAATTATTTTGAAAACATATTTCAGACAGACAAGAACTCAGGAAATCTTTACAACTTTGTTCTGAAAGGATTATGAACAAAGGAAAACAAAAGTAATGCAGGGATAGAGAGGCCAAGAGTCAGTGATAAATCAAGAAATTTGAGTAATTATGTAAGTCTAAGTAAATATGTATTATAAACAAAGAAACAGAAGCAAATCAATAATATATAACTAAAAAGAAAGTAAAAGCAAACTATAATTCTTATCTTATTTGCAGAGGAGTATAACATGAGTATTGATTAAATCTGGAAATTATAGGTAGACACCGACCCAAAGAGAAAACTGTGTCTGCATGTCTTCTTCCAAACTACTGTGGAAAGAAAGGCAAAGAAGAGTTGAATAATCCAGCAAACTAAAGGAAAAAATCATAAAGAAAGTAAGACAAATGAAAAACACAAAATGAGACAGCCCAAATAACTCCAAACACGCCAGCAATATGATTAAATTCACCTATTAAAAGACAGACTCTCATATTAGACACAAAATACAGCTTTACACTGTTTAAAAGAAATAAACCTGAAACAAAATTGACAAAATAGAATTCAAGGCAATAAGCATCAAATAGGTATAAATGATATAACCCACCAAGTAAAATAAATTATAAACTTTTATATATCTAACACAGCTTGAAAATAATACACATAAAATCGATCAGAATACAAAATTCATAAAATCAGATATAATTCTCTCAGAAAATGACAGAATAAAAACATATACAAAAGAACAAACTGCATAGTGAAGAAGCTTAATTATATATGAAAACTTTATGCCCACCAAAAATACAAATATTTTAATCACACTGCGATAGTCACCAAAAAGTACCATGTTATTAGGCCACACACACACAAAAAAAAAAAACTTAAAAAAAATTTCCCAAAGCAGAAACCAATTAGGCATATTTATTGATTGCAATGTACTAAAATTAGACATTAAAAACCAGATCACCAAAAGGAAAGATAAATCTATCCACTTTGAAAATAAGTTTACAAAAGAGTAAATATAAACTTTAGCTAAGAGAAAGTGACTTCAGAGTGAAGCCCCTACAACATCACTAGAAAATGCAGCAGAGGATACCATACAAACTTAAAAGTATCTGTTCAAACTCAAGACAATAGAGGAAGCTTCTGATTCAAGATACCAAAGAAGGAAAAGGAAAAGGAAAGAAAACTCAAAAGATAGCACAAAAAATAAAGATAGAAGGTAGAAAAATTATATAAAAAAAAACCCAACCCAATGCCTTTGAGTCGACTCTGACTCATAGTGCCCTGATAGGACAGAGTAGAACTGCCCCACAGGGTTTCCAAGACAGTAAATCTCCAATATAGCAAACAAAAAGCACAGATGATAAGAAAAACGAAAAATGGATTCTTTGAAAAGAATACAAAATTAAATTAATTCCCAAGCTAAGTCTCAATGTACTAAAGCTCTTATTTCTAAAACTCAACCGAAGTTGTTTTCTTTACCAACATCTGGCAATCTAATAAGATGACAGATTTCAATACCTGTCCACATTCATTTTATAAAGTATTTGTGAAAAAATACTAATAGATTTGGTCCCATACACTAATAGCAAATTAACAGAAAGATGTCTGTCCATCGGTCTCTTTTAAAAAACAATTCTATATTTATTTCAATCACAAAATTATACAAAATGATTTGGAATAAATACACATAAGGAAAATGAAAAAGTTACCCATGAACTCCACCCAATCCTACTTCACCAACACAAGGTCATCATTTATCAGATCAGTGTGCATATCCTTTCAATTTTCTTTTTTTTTCTTTCAATTCTTTACACTTTATTATGCAATATTAAATACATACAAAAAAGTAAAAGAACATTACAATAAACACCTGTGTACTCAACCACCCAACTTAAGAAATAAACATCACCAATACACTGAAACTCTCTAGAAATGCCTGCCTCTCTGAGGTAACCTACCTTGATATCATACATTTTTCATCTCATGCATCCCTAAACAATACATACTATTGCTTTTTATGTTTTAAACTTTTATATAAATGGCATAATATATGCACACTTCACCAATTTGCTTTTTCCCTTTAAACATTAACCCACTGCCACCGAGTCAATTTCAACTCTTAGCAACCCTTTAGGACAGAGTAGAACTGTCCCCTCATAGTGTTCCAAGGCTGTCAATTTTTATGGAAGCAGACAGCCTCATCTTTCTTCCAGAGAGCAGCTGGTAGGTTCAAACCACCGACCTTTTGGTTAGCAGTAGAATGCTTTAACTACTTCGCCACCAGAGCTCCTTCTTTAAACATTATTCTTGTTGTTATGTGCCGTCGAGTCAAATCCGACTTAGATCTATGAAATTTAACCATGCTGACAAAGTTAATTCTGGTTTATTCATACTCACTAAAGTATAGAATTCCATAACATGAATATTGAACAATTCCCCTGTTGATAAATATCCCATAATACTGCTAAAAGCATTCTTTGAAAACCTCTGTGTACAGGAGTAAGAACTTCTGTAGGCTACATACACAGAATTGCTAGGCCATGGGATGTGCACATCTTTAGTACATACTACCAAACTGTCCTCTAAATAGTACAAGTTCCTGATGTTCTGTAGTCTTGTCAATTCTTCCTTTTGTCTAGCTTTAGTTTTAACCAATGTGAACAGCAATGTAACAGTATTTTATTGTGGTTTTAATTTACCTTTCCCTGATTACCACTGAGATTGAACATCTTTTCATATGCAATGTTTGTTTTTCTTCTGTAAATTCCTGCCTTTTCTGATTACAGCTGCTCTACTAATCAAAGATTTCTTGCTCAAATATTCTAATGAAAGACTTCAAGGAAGCCTGGGTATCTATGGTGGGAAGAAACCATTTATTAGTCCTTTCTTTTCCAGAGCACACTAATCAAACATGAAAAGTAGCATCTGGATGTACAGGGTATTCAATATAACATCAGCAATCTTCTGTATTTCAAGTGAGCAAATGCAAATGGAAGGCTCCTCATCTATAAAGTCTGACACCATGTGCATTTAATATTAGAGTATATTTTTCTAAGATTAAATAAAAAATGTAAAATCTGACCACATCTTCAAATTAACAAAGCCTTAAAAAATAAAAATAAATCCCTACAGGACAGACATGATTCTAAGGAAACAAAGTTGACATAGCTGAAAAGTAGTAAACACCACCACAAATAGATACCTCAGGATAAATGAGTGAGATCATCAAAGTGTATGGGGGAGAAGAGAAAGAGGACGAGTTGGGAATGCCAAGGGTCACCACTATTCCAGAATCTACCACACAGCCGGTACTCTAATGTCAGTTTTCTATTTTGTACAGTGAGATTAACAATAGCAATCACACATGTCTCTGTGAAAAGTAAACAAGATAATTTAGGAATATGATACCTGCATCAGATTAATTTCTATTTTATTGATGAAGAAACAAAGCTGAGGGAAGTCGGGTACCTTTTTCAGCGTTAGTTAATAAATTATTCCAATCCCTAAACTTCACATTGCACTATAATATTCGTATTACCTCTCCAATATGGGTCTCACAACTGTTAAAAAAGGTATTCAAAAGAAGGAAATAGTTAGGGTTAGCCATTACCAGAAGAAGCTAAGAAGACAAGTAAAATATTCAGCCCTTAAAAAAAAAGTGTAATGTTCAGATAAGAAGTTACCTTAAATGATAACTTATTCATTTTCTTTTGTGGTGACAAATGAACTTTTGGTATTTGCCATCTAAAGGATGAAAGAGATTAACCACCAGCTTTAGAGATATTATGGCATTCATGAAACCAGTTTTGTTCATTAGGACACTTATAACAGAAATTCTTTCAGACATTATTTTTCAATAAACAACTAATTTGACCAACAAAACTGCGCCACCAGAGCTCCTTAACTAAACTGTAGCTGTTAGAATTCCAACAGGCAAATGATAAACAGAGGGTTACCTACCTACTGCGGGTGCATCATACTCATCACCAAGCAGAATTTCTGGAGCAGAATACGCAAGAGATCCACAACTTGTAGTGAGCTTCTTCCCTGGCTGAAATTTGTTGCTGAAACCAAAGTCTGTCAACTTTACAAGACCTTGTTTCTCAAAGAAGACCACATTCTCTGGTTTTAAGTCTCTGTGAACTACATGGAGTTTATGGCAATAAGATATAGCATGAACTATCTGAGCAAAGTATTTCTTGGCCAAGTCTTCATTAAGACCCTCCTCATGTTTCATTATGTAATCAAACATATCGCCTCCATCCCCAAGTTCCAGAATAAGATAGAGTTTGGTTTGGGTGTCAATAACTTCATAAAGACGTACGATGTTAGGATGCTGTACTAATTTCATACATCTCACTTCCTGGAAAAGATGACCAGTGGCTAGAGTGTCCAGTTTTGTCTTATCTATAACTTTCACTGCCACTTTTTCACCTGTAAAAACATGCCTGGCAAGTTTAACCACTGCAAAATGACCTCGACCTAAGGTTTTATCCAGATCATATAATCCAGCAATCTTTCCATCATATCCTCGCTTGAATCCTGCCATGCTGGTCCAGCAGAAGAAATATTTAGGCTTTTTGAAATGGATCTTCTCATATAAGAATATCTGGTGAAAATAAAGAATTCATTTTCAATGTCGCCATGGACATCTACAAAATAAGAGGAGAAATAAAATCACATTTCTATAACTTTTCCTTTTATAGCATACTTTAAAATGGCTTCACTTTATTTTTTATTTTAAGAGACACTCAGAAGTAAATAAATTGAGACATAAATGAATCAGGGTCATTTATACAACTTGTTTGTATATTAGGGTTCTTGATAAAAGTTGAGAATTTTAAATGTCAAATAAAATTTGAAATAAAAAAATTATTATTCTGTCAGAAGTACTTTTTTGCTAATGTGAGAAATAAGAAAACTGGCAAGTCTGATAAGCTACATTTAAAAAGCAAACACTTCCAAAAGTAACATCAATTAGTGTATTAATAAACAAGACAAGATTTGACAAGAAAGGGAAAACAAATAACAAACATTTGGACAGAAACCCAATCACCTTTTCTTGTTATCCCAAGTCTAGCACTATTTCCTGTAAGTGCACATATATTCCCTCACCAACGCCTTCTCTAACTCTCCCACCTGTAATGTACCTTCTTTCTTTATCCCTCCAATGTTCTCTGGGACACCTCCATTTCATAGGTATTTATTCTGTAGATACTTGGGTGTACCATTTCCATCCTGAGACTGGCAGGTTCTTGAGAACCTTCTATTCTAAGGTTCTATTTTGCTCTTCTACCCTCCATTTCCATATATGGCAGCTACTCAAAACTACTGAGTTAAATTTTCAAATTCAGATTTTTGCAAACATTTACTTGCTCTTGTGTCACTAGTGCCTAGAACAATACCTCTTGCATAGTGGGTGCTTAAGAAACATATGCTGACTGACTCCTTTGTACTGCCCATCTTTATTATGCTTTTCCAATAATCCAACATAACCTACCACGACCTGCTCATAAGGAGACCTAGTGGCGCAAGTGCTCAAGTGCTTGACTGCTAACTGAATGGTCAGCAGTTCAAACCCACCAGCCATTACACAGGCGAAAGATAAGGCAGTCTTCTTCCATAAAGATTGAAAAGTAAATAAGTACGCATTCTTAAAGACCGTTTAATTCTAAATGTACTAAGAAAAACAAATCAATATACAAAAGCACACAAATTAAGATGCTACTTTAAATCTCACAGGCTGAACTCATACCATTAGTTTCTCTAATCAAAAATTAATAAAAACGATTAACACAATCCAATGAGGAATACAGCAACTTCCCAAGATTAGCTCTATTTCCTATTAGTGCAAATCTCTCTCTCTGGTGAAACCTTCTTAAATGTTCCCAGTATATGTGCTTTCAGTTACTATTAGTAAGATCAGTACTTACTTACTCCACTTAGTTGATAATACTCCAACAAGCTAAAGTGTACATACAAATACATAGATTTTAGGGTTTTTTTAAGTACTAGCATTAAAATCCTTTTAAATCTCAATTTTACTTAGGAGAACAGAAGAAAAGTTAACATTATTGAAAATCTACCCTTAATCTGCATTTGTGCAAAATGCACCAAACTAGATTTCTTCATTGAATCTTTACAATTCTGAGGTTGGTACTAGTCCCATTTTTAGAGCCAAGGAAACACACTGTTTTAGGTATAAGTAACATATTAAATGCTGAAGCTAGGATTAAAACCTAATTCTTATTTCAAAACCTGTACTCTTTATATATGTTCCATCTACACTAAAGAGGTTACATCTAGGATAATATCTTAATAATTAAAACATCAATGATAAAAGAGCCATAAAGCCACTATCAAATGTAAACAGAAATTATCTGTATCATATACCTGGGCTACCAATTTATATATCATAAACTTTAAGAGTCAATGTTAATAAATTTACTATTCTTTTTCTATTTTAATGATTATTGTAATAACAAATAGCAGCTACCATTCACTCAGTATGACATGCCAGTCCTGTACCAGAACCCTTTCGTTTATTTTCTTTAATCTTTTCAACCACCCTCAAAGGATTATTAGCCCCATCTTTAGATACAGATATTAAGTAGCTTGACTCAGCCCCAGGGTCAGCCCATACCAGACTGTCTGACACTAAAGTCTGTGCTTTTAACCACTATGCTACCTACAGTCTTCCTGCAAACTGATTTCAGAACCAAAACAAAATGACTAATTCTTCTTCTCTTTAGATTTTAAAAGAAGAAACCAGTACAGTTTACATACAGGTAGTGGAGAAAAAACAGCTTTCTTCTATGCTGTGTATTAGTCCTGTTATCTAAACTAACAATGTCAATGACAGGATTAACATGCAAATCTAAATGGGAAGGAAGACTGCTTTATCTGGTCAGCCGTTACCGGAAAGAAACTTTAATTCAGGTATGTTTAATTTTCAAAAGAAAAACTACATGTTAACCTCACTGGGCAGAAAACAATCTTTAAATCTTTAGCTTTGATTAAATTATCAGGGCAGTAATTACTCTGAAAATTCTTCCTAAATCTATGTTTCCATTCCACCAGTGTGTGAACACGACATTAGCTTTCAAAACAGACTTCTTCACATCACTCTCAAGTTACATAATCTTTGTTCTTTTCATGTATCAGTTTAGCTTAGATGTGTTCCTGACAAGTGCCATATAAATTACATTTTTATAAACAAACCAGAGTTTTGGTTTTTAATTAAAACTATTTAATGATTATTTTTCTCAGGGTCTCAGGTACCCAGAGATAATCACTATTAACATCATTTCTCTTCCCAGGCCTGTGCCAGCAAAGCAACACAATGAAATAATTTTCCTCTACTAGGGAGCTCATTGGAAAGAATCTAGTAAGGTCTCTTCATAATCACAAAGTGCTCTATAGTAAAATGATTGATCACTTGTACTATCAAAGAATTTACTTTTTGTACAGTATCTCTTTCTAGAATCTATGAAACTACAATTAAATTATATACCTAAGAACAGGACATTATGATTAATGGACAGTCAAGAGGGAAAAAAATCCTTGTTATTGAACATCTTTTGAAAGACTAGCCCCATCTAGTCTTAATACCAAGCAAATTTTGAGTTAGGATAGGAAAAAATTAAATCATTTTTAATATCTGAGGATACTGCTGTGCCCAAAAGTCATCCTGAACATCAATGCCAAATGTTAAGATGTGGGTTATGGGTAAACTTGTACCAACTCGAAGACATACCCTGCAAACCGCATACAGAGTAATTCTTGGTATCACAGTGTTTCGTTAATTGCTTCTTTCTCCTAAAAGAAATAGAGAAAAAGATGTTAGTTTAGTTCTATATGTCTTAATTTTTGTTAAAGTCATATAGCTTATAGCTGATTTTTGATCAATGTATAAAAATGGCAAAAATCTGTTTTTAGGGGCCCAGTCACTGCTTCCTTTCTATGGATTACAACTCCTTCAAGAAACCTTCAGTAAAATAAGAATTTCAGAGTGAATAGGTACAAAGAGATTTTTCCAGGTAGACAGCTCAGAAAGACTATTCCAATGACTGACTCAGGGTGGGAAAAGGAAAAAAAAATAATAAAGAGTATGCTCACCATTTTATATAAATTCCTTCTGAGTAACAGGCACTGAACCAACACTTCACTGAATCCTCACTATGAGCCTGCAAGGTAGGTACAATGAGGTTCAACTTGCCCAAGGAGCAGCAGTGCCACGGCTCTAAGACTGCTCAACCTGGTCTTGAACCCCACCCATCTCCAGGAACCCCTGTGGGCTCTCGAAACACACTACAATAGCCAAGGGCAGCCTTTTGCAACATGCTGTCATCTAGCAGGCTGGTAGAAATCAATTATAATGCCAACTTCTGGGAACCCACAAAACACCTTTGCACTGGATGCTTTCTAGGTAATAGTAAAAAAGAAATGATCACTGTGAACAAAGAGAATGTGAGCAGACCCCTTCTATCCAAATTCATGGAGTAACGAGTGAGTACTGACTCAGGTAGTGCTTGCTGCAAGCCTTTCCACAACACTGAAATAGCACACAAATAACTGAAAGGCCTAAACATTCATACCATTGTTAGCTGTCATCAAGTTGATTCTAATTCGTGGCAAACCCTTATGTGCAGAGTAGAACTGCTCCGTGATGTTTTCAAGGCTGTGACATGTCAGAAGTAGACTGCCAGGTCCTCCTTCCAAGGCACCTCTGGGTGAGTCTGATCTACTGACCCTTATATTACCAGTTCAGTGCTTAGTATGTGTGCCATCCAAATCTACTGCCGTTGAGTCCATTCTGACTCAAAGGGACCCTACAGGGCAGAGTAGAACTGTCCCCAGGGTTTCCAAGACCGTAATCTTTACATAAGCAGACCAGCACATCTTTCTCTCACAGAGTGACTGGTGGATTCCAACAACTTACTTTTTGGTTAGCAGCCAAGTACATGACCACTGCAACACCAGAGTTCCTTTGCACCACCCAGGGACTCCTAAATATTCATACTTGTTAAGTGCCACTGAGTTGTTTTCAACTCATAGCGATCCTATGTGGCAGAGGAGAACTGCCCCATAGGGTTTTCTTGTCTATAATCCTCATGGTACCATATTGCCAGGTCTTTCCCTCACAGAGCCACTAGATGCTTTTGAACCGCCAACCTTTCAGTTAGCAGTTGAGCATGTAATCGGTGGCAATATCCATTACACGTTAAAGATGAATTGCATTTGGGCTGTATTAAGCCCAAATTCAGGTGTACTTAGGGGAAAAGGAGTACAAAGAGGTGGGGAAGAGTAGACAGAAAAGGTGATCTCAAGATATAAAAACAAGTCTACTGCAGGGAAGGAGGGGTGAATTGGAGCCAGTTTTGCAGCACAAACAGGGCCAGCAAAGCCATGGGCACGGGCCTACATCTAGTCTCTGGAGAACTGCAGGATGTCTACCTGACCCATCAGTTCCAAGCGAGTTATGGTTGCTCCTCCCATTACCCTTGCCTGCTTCTCTCTTTCCAGCAGCCCTTGTTCCATTCACTGTCTCTGCAGCAAGGTAGTGTGGTAGAGTCCAGTGGTTGACTACTGGCGAAGGCTGGATGTGAATCTCAGCTCTACCAATTAGTAGGCACAGCACCCCAGAAAGTTATCTAACCTCTCTGTATGGTTGATTTTCTCATTAAAAAATGTTGGAAATGAGGATTAAATGAGTTAACACAGGTAAAGTATTTAGAATTGGGCCTGGCACAGAGTAAGCATTCAATAAATATTAGATGCCACCACCACCATCACTGTTATAACGATGATGCTTACTTCCTCTCCTGTCCAGCAGAAATTCTTTTCATTTTCTACCCTATTTCAGAAGAATGAACTTAGCTATTAGCTCTTTCTCTTTCAGAGAAAAGCTGTTGTTCAGTCTTCTAAAATGTATGAAACTGAAAATGAGCGCTGTTAAGATTGTAAGAAAAAGGAAATAATGTCTCTAGCTGGGCATCAGATGCCTGATGATTTTTCAACAAAACACCCCACAAAATCTATTACTTGCTTTTAAAATGACATTAACATGACTTTGGGAGCTCTGGTAGCGTAATGCCTAAGGCACTTGACTGCTAACCAGAAGGCTGGAGGTTCTAACCCACCAGGCACTCCTCGGAAGGAAGATGGGGCAATCTACTTCCATAGTGATACTGCCTTGGAAACCCAAGGAGGGGTCGCTATGAGTCGGGTCCAACTCGATGGCATATAACAACAAAACAACAACAACATGACCTTACGTCAAATCTACCTTATCAAAAAATAAAGACTTAACATTTTTTTCCCCACCAAAGTGATACTGTTTTACAGAAAATTTAGAAAATACATAATAGGAAGCAGAAAGAAAACAGGGGCATCCATAGTACTGCCACAGATCAGTCCTAGTAACATTTTAGTAGCCTTTGTGTACATATTTATATACAACTTCTTCCTTATTTTGTTTTACAAAAATATGATCATTCTTTCATAACTTTATGGTCTATCTACATCATGCTATCTTAACACTTTCCTTTGGTTTTTTTTTTTTTTTTTCCAATTATGAAAGTGTTATCTGTTTAGCATAGGGAAAAAAATACAATTAGAATGCATAGTTTGGCAAGAAGAGAGGAGAATTTTAAAAAACACCCATTAACCTACCCATTATGAGAACCTCTGTTAGCATTCTGGGACATAGTTTTTCAAATTATTTTCTATGTATAATATATGCCTAGACAAAAAGCTTTTTATAAAAATGAGAATATACACATACAGTTTTGTTACTGTTTTCTAAATACTTCTCTCCAAAAACAAGTTAATTCATGTTTACTTTAGAAAATTTGGAAAATGCAGAAAACTGTTAACAGAGAAAATAAAGATCATGTGTAATCTCATCCAGAATTACTTCTATTTGGGTTTGAACAAGTGTCTTTGATACCTATTCTTCTTTATAAAGCTATGATATTGTACATGAAGTCTAGTAATTATTTTGTCCTCTGTTTTATATGGTGAACATTTAGTTTTTAGTGCATAGAAAAATGTTTTGTGCAGTATCATAGCTTTATAAAGAAGAACAGGTATAAAGGACACTTGTTCAAACCCAAATAGAAGTAATTCTGGATGAGACATCTCTTTAAACAGCAAAGTAACTATAAAATACGCCATTCTAAAGTAACTTTCTTATTTAGTGTATGCTCACACATTTAGGACGGACCTAAATGAAACAGGCCAACTAGTCAAGAGTGTTTATAATATGGAAATTCATGGTTGAGAAATAAGTACTGGAATGTGTTGCAAGAATATACTGACTGATGTTCTCCCAGCTCAAGGCAGCAGAAGCAACTGAAGCATGAGGGTGTGGCTGGAGAAGAGGAAGGAAGTGTGGGTGGCCCTACACACATTTTGCAAGACACTGAGAACAGTTGTAGAACCAGCCTCTCTTAAACTTACTGTCAATTTGGAATGCACCCTGTTACTCTTGTGAAAACTCACTTCTAGCTTTTCACTGACATCATCACCAGTATAGTCTGGTCTGTAGATCAAATAAATGTCTCCCTAATTCCACCTCTCCCCAAGAGAAATAAGGACAAAACTGCATGCTGAAGAATGATGGCTCTGCCGGGATACCACTCTGGACCAATTCATGGCATGAAGTAGTAGAGGCATGGAACAAAAATGGCAGATTAGGCTACTTCTACAGCTTCTCTACAGTTTGTCTGGAATATTATAAATTTTCCTCCAAAAAAAAAAAAAAATCAGATAAATATTCAAATACACAAAAAATTGCAAAATAAATAAATAGATAAAAGGTTGTTTTTAACTCTGTGTCACTACTCTTCCACTAATACAGACAACTAAAAGTTGAGTTTTTACAAAACTGTGATAAAATTGGGTTTAAGCTTCTTACACGTAGGAATTACCTGGTATCTTTTACAAATACCAAGAAATGAAAGCTTTAACTCTTACTCATGGAAGTATCAGGCTAAACTATGCCGACAGAAAAGCCAACTTACATGCTCTCAATGAATATTACTACCCTAATCTTATTCCTCAAGGAGCTCTGGTGCTATAGTGCCTAAGGCATTTGACTGCTAACCAGAAGGGTAGCAGTTCAAACCACCAGCCACATCGCCAAAGAAGACTAGGCAATCTACTTGCATAAAGATTTACCGTCTCAGAAACTTAATGGGGGTTGCTATGAGTTGGAATTGACTTGATGGCAGTGAGTTTGTTTTTTCTGGGTTTAATCTTATTCCTCAAAGTGTAAAGATAACTATTAACAAAAATGGTATAGGATGAAAACAAAGACAGTCGACTAAATCCTCAAGGAGTATCAATACCGTCCCAAATCAAAGAAAACAAGCACAACCCTACCATGCAGGCACCACTGCTGTTCTCTTTCTCTAAAGTAAATAACATTCCACATTTCAAGAATGTTACCGCTCTTCATGGAAGCTGTCATGTAAACTATAAATCAAAGACAGAGAAACCACAAACAGGACTTCAGGTCCAAAATTACAGAAGAATCCAGAGTTTTTCACAGGACTGGTTGAACAGCACTGTGTGTTTATCATGTGGGATCAGTCTGGAGCCACTGGAAAGAGTCAAAACGGGAACTATACATTAAAAAATCACATCAATCATTATGGAAAATGTTGTAATAGGCAAACTCATACCTTTGAAACTCTAAAAAAGTATTTTCCAAGGGAAGGCAACTATCTACTAAGGTGAATTCTGAAAGTTTTCTTCTAAGTTTTTGTTATGTGCCGTCGAGTCGTCTGACTCGTAGCAACCCTATGTATAAC